CAACGAGATGGATTGATACGGTGGCTGCGATGATGGGCTCAAGTATAGCAGGGATTGTGGGGCTGGCGCGGGATCGGGCAGTGTTTCGTTCTGCTGTGTATGGGGTCGCTATGAGTCTGAAACGACTCGACGGCACTTAACAACAACAACATGCATGTGACAACTGGATAATGAACAAGGAAGGCCAAAAAAAGGGTTGATGCTTTTGAGTTGTGTTGGTGAAGAATGCTGAAAGTACCGTGGGCTCCCAAAAGAACTAACAAATCTGCCCTGGAAGAAGTGCAGCCAGAATGCCCCTTGGAAGCGAGAATGGCCAGACTCTATCTCACTTACTTTGGTCATGTTGTCAGAAGGGACCATTCCCTGGAGAAGGATATCATGCTTGGTGAAGTAGAGGGTCAATGACAAAGGGAAGACCCTCCACAAAATGGACTGGACAGAGAGTGGCTGCAATGATGGGCTCAGGTATAGCAAGAATTGTGAGGCTGACACAGGAGTGGGCAGTGAGTGTTTCCTTTCGTTGCACATAGGGTTGCTATGAGTTGGAGCCCACTCAGCGGGACCTAACAATAACAAAGGGCTTTGGGAGGAACGTGATGTATTAGATCTCCGACTTCTCTAGTCTCTTAATGCTAGGGGCCAGGTTAGATTCTACTCACTTTCCTAGGCGGGCGGGCAGGGAGTAGCTGGAAGATTACGTAATGTGCTCGCGCCCTGCGCTGGTGGTGGCCAATGGGCGGCAGGAGAGTGTATCGCGTTAACCCTTCAATCCCTGGAAGGTGGCTGTTGTTGCATGTGGAACCCACACAGCAGAAAAGGAAGTGGTTCCTTTAAAATCTGGGGAGGAGGTTGGACCAAGGATCCACCGGCTCACCCTCTCATTCGCTACGAGGCCGCGAGGGGCGGGTCCGATCTATGCAAATCGGAGCTGCTGATCGTTGACGCACCATCACCCCACGCGCCGCTTCGAGCGCGGATTGGCCGCCGCCAGCCTGGTCCCATTGACAACAAACAAGGGGGAGCGCGCCCTGGGGGCGGGGCTATGGAGGGCGGGGGCGGGGGAATCCCGCCCCGCCCATTCCGCACGGCGCCGGGGCGCAGCGCAAACATGGCGGCGGCTGGCGCAGGCCGGTGAGGCGGTATCGGGCGGGGGGTTGTTGGGTGTGATGGGCGGTGGCGGCGGCACCGCCCCCGCGTCTCCCTGAGCGGGACGGCAGGGGGGCCTCTGCAGCGAGCCGGGCGATGGACGAGAGCGCCGAGCTAGGCGGGCTGGAGACCATGGAGACCCTCACGGAGCTGGGCGACGAGCTGACCCTGGGGGACATCGACGGTGAGCGATGGGTGGGTGGGAGTGCGGGGGCACGCGGGGAGGAAGGGGTTACGACGGCGCGCGCCGCGCGCGTGTGCGCGTGCTCCTACCCCGCGACAGCCCGGCTCGCGCGGGAAGAGCCCCGCGCGCTCGCCCAGCCGTTCCCCGGCTTTCTGGGCGCCGTTGGCTGGAGCCCGGCAGCCGTTCCGTTCCGAGAGCGGTGGGATCCGTGGCGCCGCGGGTCCGGAACTGAGGTGCAGGTCCTGGGGGGCGCGGGGGCGCCCGGAGCGGAGTGCGCGCCGCTGCCTCCGTCGCACGCGCTCCGCGCTCTCCCGCCGCCCCGGCCCGTGTCGCACCTGTCACTCCCAGCCGGAACGCGGGGGCGGCTCTGCGATTCCCGGGGCCGGGGCCCCGCGGTACCCGCTCTCCACCTCACGTCTAGTCGAGAGTGAAGGCCGGCCGGGTCGCCTGGCGCTCGGAAAACTTTAGACGGTGGCTGCAGAACCAAGTTGCTGATGAAGCCAGCGGTGGCATCGGCGCGTGGCCGCATCTCTCCGGCACCGAGTCCGGAGAGGGCCTGCGAAGGGAGTTGAGCAGCAGGAGTTCTAAGTTCTAAGCCTTCGGGTGCAAGCTGGGGAGCGGGTGGCGTTTCTTCTGGCAGCCTTAAACGCAGAGTGGAAGAGGGGGCAGAAATCCGGAATCCTCTCTTGGAGAGCTCTTGTCTGGTGGCCGTGGGAACTGGGGTTTGGAGAGAATCAGCAATTTGCCCATGGTCATGACTAGTCGTGGAGACAGTCTCTCAGCCCCCAGACCCCACCTTGGTGGTGATGAGTCCAGTGAATAGGTTAGGAATCTTACTAATAACTCTCAGTTGGTGGTCCTTTCTGATGTTCCAGCCCCAAAGTATAGTACATTATTTTGCCACCCTGTGAGGTGTTCTTCCTGCCCCAGTTTACAGGAGGCTGAGGCCAGGAGAGGTTAACGTAAGGCCACTCCCCCGAGAGTCTAGAACCCAGGCTGTTCTCAGTAACTCAGGTGCACTCAGCTCTTCAGTTTACAAAGTGCTTTCGTGGGCACAGTGTCGCAGGCAGGTGTGACGGTTCCTGCTGCCTTGTGCACAGGAAGAAACAGGAGCGGCACTCTCTGAGGGAAGAGAAAAGTGGCAGTGCCCAGGGAAAAGAATGCATTTCTCGTTTTCCCATTCTGCTTCTATAACGTCTGCCTCCTGGGCCTGTCCTTGCTTTCCATTTTCAGTCTTCTGGGCCACGTGGTAAGACCCTTCCTCGAAGCCCTGTGTCTCCTTGCAGATGCTCTCAGTACAGAGCGGTGTTAACAAATGGGGGAGGGGATACCGAACAAGGACAGCTAACATGTTTGGAGGACTCCTGTGCCAGGCACTGTGTTAAGCACACTTGCACATCGATGGTCCCAATCCTCCCAACAACCTTGGCTGGTAGTGCCACCATCATCCCTTTCTTACGCATCTTGAAACTGAAGTCCTGGTGATTCATTAACTTGTCCCAGTTACACCGCCAGTAAGAAGTGTGTCCGGGGCTGCCTCCCATGGGGCAAGCTCACAGAAGGAAATTCTGGTGCATTTTACATTCCTATGGTATCCCATCATCAGGCTTTATTTATTTATCTTAATTTGTAAAGTGTTAAACTACCTATGGTTAGGTATTAACTGTATCTCCACAGATTGCTGAGTAAAATGTGTATCCTGGAAACTACCAGCTCATTGGCTTCATGGGTCTGGGATGAGGGGTTCTTGTCCTCACTTGGTCCACAGGTGTGCCAGTTCTGCTGTGAAGACATAGGACAGGTAGATGGTGAAGGCCTTGTGGACCTTGAGACAGTAACAGTAAAGCTGTGGTCTGAGGACAGGACAGCTTGTAACTGTGGCATGTGGGGCAGTAAGTGAAAGCACCCAGGCGGCTCACAGCAAGGAGGTGGCCTTGTGCCAGCTGAAGGCGTGTGGTCTGCAGACCCAAGCATCCCTCACTACTCACCCATCCCTTCGTCCTCCAGAGTGACGCCTTCATGAGGGCAGGAACGGTCACCTCGTTCAGGGCTGTTCCCTTGCACTGGGAACAGTGCCTGGCACAGAGCGCTCCCTAAATATCTGTGGAAAGCAGAATGAATCCAATGACCCCGGGGCTGGCCGGGACACTAAATTGCTCTGGGAGTTGGATTCGATTGGGCGTCGACAGGCTTCCACAACCAGTCAGGTGAAGAGGAGGAAAGGCTGTGGTTGGGAGTTACATGCACTTCCCTTGTGTGCAAGTGGTGGGGAGTTGGGGGGTAGGTACTTACAGCTGGACAGCTCACCCTCACTTCCTGCTGGTGCTCCAGTGGGCGGAAATCCTTGGCTCTGCCCTGTGCCCGTCCACTGGGGCCCTTGAGGGGCACATCCACACACTCAGCACATCCTTGAGTGATTTCTAGGTGCCCCCCCTGTGCAGAGTATGGATGGTAACTGAACAAGACAGATGAGGTGTTTTCTCTCTCAGAAATGGTCAAATTCTCCAGGGAGAAAGCACGAGGTAAACAAAATAAATGAATGATTTTGGCCAGGCGCTATGAAAATAGTCAAATGGGGTCCTCACATAGAAGTGCCCGGGGAGCGGCCCTCAGCAGGGAGGCAGAGGAAGCCTCTTGGCAGCGAGGGCACTGTCTGGTTTTCAAGACAAGCCAGAACTGGAAACGTTACATGAAATCTCTAGGGTTTTTGTTTGTTTAATTATTGTGATTTGGCTGTAAGTTGACAGAGCAAATTCACTTTCCACACAGCAGTTCACACACATTTTGTTCCTGACATTGACTGCAGTCCCCACAATGTAAGAGCTCTCTTCCCACTTCTTCCCTGTCCCTATGTCCTTCTTTCCCAAACATCCCCTGCCCCCCGCTGTCTCCCTGTGCAAACACTGCCCTTCTGTTCTCCACAACTGATCACTCCAAAGTGTGTCTACCTGCTGGAAATGGTCACCCCATATGCCTGTGTGTTGTTTGGCTGAGATCTCCAATCGTTAAGTGTTGGCTGATTTGTTTTGTTTTTCTAAGAAACATCCTGCATGCCCAACAAAGCATGGGTGCTAGCTGATCCTCAGGCCTTGTTCCACTGCCAAATGCTCTGTTGTCTTGGGTCTCTTGTCATACACCAGCTGGAGCACTTCCTTCTGTGGTGGCTGTGATGGTGGTAGACACCTGTATCATGAGAAAGGGCTTAAGCCAAGGCTTCTGGGAGGACAGAGAGGAGGGCCCCCCTTCCACTGGGCCCAGAAGGATGGGTGGCAGGAATAGCATGAACAAGCCCAAGGCAGCAGAAGATAAGGTTGGGAAGGTGATGGAGCCAAATTGTGGAGGATCTTCATACCAGACACAGATGTTTTGTGGCACATAGGGAGGGAATTGCTGAAGGTTTTTGACTGTGGAGAATGGCATTTAAGAAAATTCAGCTGTGGTGGTGAGCAAGGAAGATTGGAGGCAGAGAGACCCATTAGGTGGGAACTGCAGCCATGCTGGTGTGGGGTGGTGAGGAAGGCCCCACCGTGGTAGAAGGGGTGCACAGGACGCTGCCATTGTGCAAGACACACATGAAAGGACATGAGCCCAGAGAAGGCCTAGCCCTGGAGGCAGAGCAGAGGAGATCTCGCAAGGCTTTGGAAGCCAGCAGGAAGAGCTGGTTTGGGGAGATGATGAAAATTCCTGTTTCAAATAGGCTGAACTTCAGGTGCTTGGGGGTAGGGGTCATCCAGTAGGAAACGGGAAATGGTCAGAACCGGGGGTGGAGGTTGAGGAGTAGTCACTGTAGCTAAGTTGGGGGAGAAGTGAGAGATTGAACCAAGTCAGCTGGAGAGTGTCTCTACCAAGCGGCCGGGAGCTTTTCAAGCAGGGCTTAGTGGACGAAGGAGACAGTGCTGCAGAGGACAGCGAAGATGACAAGGCCTTGGAAAGAGCCGGGCGATGTGGCAGTTAGCAGGTTGACTTCTGACGGAGCAGTCAGGTGAAGGGAGTCCAAGGCCAGCTCAGCCAGGAAGGAGTCAGAAATGAGTAAGTGATGGGCAAGAAGAGGCAGCCATTCTCTTTGGAGAAGGTTGAAGAATGTTTCGACAAGCTCAGCTCTGCTTTCTGTCTGGATGTATTTGCCTGTTCTGGGTGGTTCATGTAAATAGAATCACACAGTACCTGGCCTTTCGAGACAGGCTTCTTTCACGCAGCATGGCTTCTGAGGTTCATTTGTGTTGTAGTCCAGTATCCCACTATGTGGATAGACCACACTCTGTTTATCGGTTCATCAACTGATGGACATTTGTGTGGTTTCCACTCTCTGGCTGCTATGTATGAAGCTGCCCGGACCATGCGTGTGCAAGTTTTTGTGTGGACACGTGTTTTCATTTGTTTTGAGTATGTCCTCTGTGTTTTTCTGTATTTTTATTTTTCTGTATTTCTGAGGGTGTATAATGCTCCCACTTACTCATTTGCTTGTTCTACGTTTTCGTAACTAATTCAGCCCTGAAGCTTGTGACCGCTTGATATGAAAAGTTCACTCCCTGTTGCGCCCTTGCTGCCATCTGTCCTGGAGCCCTCCCTCTTTTTGCCACATGTGATAGTTGCCATCTAGGTCTGGGATTCCCCTTAACCATCATCCGGGGGGATCCCCGGGCACCTCGTCAGCGTTGAAGGGCGCTCCCTTTTCCTTGCTTTCTTTACACCCTTGTTGATGGGACAGCCCCCTGGTAGCTCCGAGAAAGACCAAAACCAAACTCACTGCCATCCAGTCCATTCTGAATTCACAGCAACCCCCATTGGGTTTCCAGGGCCGTAAATCTTTATGGAAGCACATTGCCCCATCTTTCTTCTGCAGAGCAGTTCTTGTGTTTGCACCACTGACCTTTTGGTTAGCAGCCAAGTGCCTTAACCACTACGCTACCAGAGATCCTTGGGCAAGAGTCCAGTGGAGGTGATTTTTTTGAGGCCTGGCCTGTTTGAAAATGTCTTCTCTAACCTCACTCCAGTTTGAT